GTTCGATAAAGTTAGAGATACTTCACTTTACTTTACTTTATTTTACTTCACTTTTCGGGTAAAGTAGATCTACTTTACTTTACTCGATAAAGTAAAGTAGATCAATTTTACTTTACTGGGTAAAGTAAAGCAAAATGCTTTACTTTACTTTAATAAAGTGAAATAAAAATAAAGTGCCACCCCTATAGCTAACAAATCAGTCAAGTGAATCATGCCTTTACAAAACTTTCCTATTGTTATATTTCTGTATCTTGAGCTATATTTGAGTGAAATCTGACCGTTCCTAAGAAAAACGGAAGATGTAATATTCACATCTCACTTCGGTACAGTTGGATATCCATAACAAACGCCTCAAGATATATAACTTTAAAAAATAAGAGTTTTTTATCCACAAAGCCCGCTGAACTAATTCGGTATCCATGACAATGTACATTTAGTTTTACAATCATAAGGATATGGATCGTAGACATAAGTAGTACTATTTGAATCTTTGTTTCATTATTTTGTTGACTGGAACTCAAAATAGATGACGATAACATTTATTTATAAAATATTATGCATAGTGTTAATAAGCGATATGATAGCAAAAATATAATAATAAATAGATATCTATAAGAATAAATAGGATTTATACTGACAATAGTACAAATCAGAGATGGAATCGGTCTGACTGGTAGTAAACAGGATATTAATGATATGTCAGTTTATCAGGAAAATCCGACCTATTGAAAAATATTGATCTACAGACAACAGACCGAGGCTCATTATGAAACCATGTTCCATACTGAACTCTCTCTTGTGGATTTCCTCAGTACCTTCACGCACACTGGTATAACATTTTAGCATTGACAACAATAGTTTCATTGAGAGCATTCTAGGAACTGTTGGTTAAACTAATCGTTGTGTGATCAATAGGATCAGCCGTGGTGTCAGTTGTTTTTTTATGTCGATACAATCATAGAGCAGTAAAGTGAAAAATATAGACTGTTTGGACCGGTTAAGATCGACCACACAGGTTTAGACCGACTACACCAGTTTAAATCGGTTAGATCGGTTCAGACCGATCTGAACCGGTTAGACCACCAAATACTGGTCTGAATCGGATCGGCCGGTTACCGATTCCATCTATGGCACAAATTATTAAAATAACATTTGTAATCAATATATACAAAAAGAGGAATACAACTCAATTCAATTAGCTACACTGAGAATTTTACCTAAAATAAAAAGGGAAAACAATATTCTAATGTTGGTAGAGGTGAAACTGCTCCAACCAAAAGAAAATGAAGAAACACCTTTGAAATAATAAGTAGTGTAGTAGAATATTAGATATTATTATCTCATAAAAAACGCGTTGTAATTTGGATAGGAACATGTGATATCACATCTTAAAAGTATGCTTGATGTTCGATTCGATTATACCTGTTCAACTGAAAAACTAAAAAACGATCGTCGACATACTTCAGCACTTTTTTGACTAACGGTATATTGCGGTATTTCAGGAAACCATTGGTATCCCATCAGTATACCGGCGGTTTCTCCGGCTACCGCAGTATGTCGGCGAAAGTTAATGTATATGTATGACATGGGTACAGATTGAAAGACTTTATTGATATATTAAATTAAGAGAGAACTAATTAGATATGATGCATTTTTTTGAAAGTGCAAATGTGATAATTCCACTACTTTTCATTGACATTGATAAGTTAAAATACGAAAGACAGACACTTTGACGCAGCTCGCTCCTCAGTATTTTAGCAAAAGCCCATGTCAGTGCAATCAGTGCTCCAGTGACTTTAGTATCCGTAACTTGATTGTCAGTATTTCGGTATTGATACCAATACTGCACTCCTCAATGTGCACACCGACCAGAAAAGATATTTTTAAGTGGAGTTTAAAAGAAACAATAACTTTTCCTATTCTGTTTTTCTTCTATATATTATTTTTCTCTTATAAGAAGAAATGAATAGTGTATATTCCAATACCTATATTTCGGATAATGAGCTAACGTGAAGTTTACCTTGTATTAATAATGAAAGTATCTGATTAAGCATATATGTAGAACAGAATAGATTATAAAATCCATGTTTTGATCTAAAATATTCATCATACACAAGGACACCTGATTATGACACTTATAGAGGCAAATTCTTATATTTTTCTTGTGTATTAATTCGTTCTCCTAGCAATGACGTAATCAACAATCTCAGTAAATTAATCACGAACATGTTAGTATTCAACTATTTGTTGCATAAAAGAATAATTGCAAATAACTCTAATAGTGCATTTAGAAAAGAGAATTACTCATATTACTTTAAGTCATGCACATCTTTTTTCATGAAAATCATTTTAAATCAGAAAAACTCGTGAAAATCACTTAAATTCATTTGAAATCACGTAAAATCACTTTAAATCGCAATAATCATCTTAACTCATTTTAAATCACAAAATCACAAATTGCTGTTTCCCCCTTGTTCACACCGATACTCATCCACTACTATACGCACAGCGGCACATCCGCATTGGCATCACACCCACATTCATACCTGTCCATAGCTACAGCCATAGTACCATAGCCACACTCGCACCACGCCCACACCCACCGTACATTTCACACACCACACATTGGCATCCTAATGTCGCTTTAAATGTGCTCTTTTTCACATATAATTGTGTGGTTCATAATATCTCAAAGTCTTCCTATTTTGAGACAAAAGTTTCAGAATGATTAGAGCTCATTAAGATATATGTAAGCGAAAATTTCAGCTCAATCGGTCAAGGCGTTCTTGAAATATGATCATATTAGGACTCTATTGACCGAGATGGTCACTTTTAGCACTATGCGTAAAATGCTCATAAGAACCCGTAGGCTCAATAGTTTTTAGATCTGTTTCCGTCAAAATTCATAAAGCTCTTCCCTATGCAACATATTTGGAAATTGAGCAAAATCTGACGACCACAATTGAACAAGTTCGGTCGTGACTTAAATGGATCAGCTACTTAGGTCTATCCAAAAGTAATGTCGCGTTTATCTTATTTCCTTATAAAAGAGTCAAAAACAAATTCTTTTTTTATAGAATGATAGAGAAAATGAAGCTCTATTTTTCTATACTATTTCGTCACTATCCAACGACTATCGAAATTTTAAAAGAAGGCACCCGGAAAAAAAGCTTATAACTTTCGAACGAAAAGTCATAGCGACCTGCGATTTTCAGCAATCGATAGAAGATTATAGGGGGCACATTTTAATATAAAAATCAAGGTTTAAATAATCGGTGATTGTAGAATCACTAAAAGAGTAGGCTCGTTATTTGGTGAAATCTCAGCAGAACAAGCTGAAACTTTCAGCATATATAGCCCCACTGTACCCCAATCTTCGCTGAAAATATCATCGATAAATCTTGTAATGACGAGGAATGGTGAGCCAATCATCATCTGGCCTTACATAAGACTCACATTCACTCAAAATATTAGGAAATGGCCTCAAATTTTGGCTGAATAAATACCATAATCTAGACTTCATATCTATGCAATAGCATCGCACTTTGATCGTAAAAATGTACGAAACTAGTCAAAATTCGACGAAGAAATGATTTTCATACAGTAAGTATTTTAAAACAAATCTTTCCAACTTTCTTAAGAGAAATGCAGAATTTAGTAATATTTTCACCGTCTCTTCTCGTTCATTTAATCAAACTATGATATAATTGCATAGATATAAAGTCTAGATTATGGTATTTATTCAGCCAAAAGTTGAGGCCATTCCCTAATATTTTGAGTGAATGAGAGTCTTATGTAAGGCCAGATGATGATTGGCTCACCATTCCTCGTCATTACAAGATTTATCGATGATATTTTCAGCGAAGATTGGAGTACAGTGGGGCTATATATGCTGAAAGTTTCAGCTTGTTCTGCTGAGATTTCACCAAATAACGAGCCTACTCTTCCAGTGATTCCACAATCATCGATTATTTAAACCTTGATTTTTATATTAAAATGTGCCCCCTATAATCTTCTATCGATTGCTGAAAATCGCAGGTTGCTATGACTTTTCGTTCGAAAGTTATAAGCTTTTTTTCCGGGTGCCTTCTTTTAAAATTTCGATAGTAGTATTATACTAATAAAATTTCGAGCAGAACTATTTTTGTATGAAACTTAACTTTGGTATTATGTGATATTATCGTCCATTTCTGTACAATTTTTGGTTTTTCTCTGTTCTTCTTTTCTATTTTGTTTCTTCTTTTTTGTCATCTATTACGGAGTTTTGTCGCATATTCTTATTAGAATATACAAGAAGAATGTTGATCGAACGAAAGTGAGATACAAGCAAATTCAACAAAACTTTATTTCATCAAATGTTCAAAATAATGACCTTGATTATCCACACACAACTGCATTCTCTCAATCCATTTATCAAACATTTTTCTATATTCTTCTTTATTCAAAGAGCACATAAACTCAGTTATAGCATCATATAATGATTGGACATCGTTATGATCGCTTAAATTTCGTTTGATCAAACCAAATAACCAAAAGTCGCACGGTGATAAATCAGAAGAATTGGGTGGATGTGGTATTGTTGTAATGCCTTTTGATTCAAGGTAATCAAACACATCCTTATGAAGATGCGGCATTCCATTGTCTTGATGAAGTATAATATGATTTGTGCCATATGAGGGTCGTTGGTACCTGATTTCGTCTAAAAGAGGTTGCAAGCAGTTGTCGATGTAATATTAATGGTCGATAGTTTGCCCCTGTTCCACATGATGAATCAGAAGCGCACCAGTCGATTTGAAAAAGATGGAAAATAACGTTTTTGGAGCAAATTTATTGAGACGAATTATTGTAGGTGGAGGATCACCATTTGCCATCCAAGCAGCATTTGATGACTTTCGACCAATTCGCTTGTGATAAAACCACCATTCGTCGCCTGTCACCACATTACATAAACGCCATGTTTCATCTCTAAATTTTGCTACATTTTGTTGACATATTCGAACTCATTCATTCCGTTGGAAATCGGTAAGTTGCTTCGGTAAATAACGAGCGGTGATTTTGGCAAGTTGTAAATGGTCGGTGATGATCCGCTGAGTAGTACCGTAGCTTAAACCAGTTTGGTCTTGCACTTCTTCTATTGTAGCACAAGGATCATCATCAATAATAAGACGCACTTGTTCGATATTTTCAGGAGTTGTTTCAGTAATAGGTCTATCAGGTCGTGCTTCGTTTTCAAGTTCTTCTTGGCCTTCGCAGAATCGTTTACAGCATCTTTCAACTGTTCTAAGACAAGGAGCTTGATCACCATGAACAGAACATAGTTCTTCATAAATAACTGGTGCTTGAATATTAAGTGCAGTACGCATTTCGATATAGAATTGAATGTTTTTCGTACTCATTAGAAGCAGTTAAAGTGTTAGAATTTAATTCGACTTTTATGGTTTGACCTTCTCGAAAGTATACGAATAAGCTATATGGACACGCAACTAATGGGATATGATGGACGGCTAAGCGACAGTAGAGGCAAGAAAAAAAAGAAGAAAGAAAATAGAAAAGAAGAACAGAGACAAACCAAAAATTGTACAGAAATGGACGATAATATCACATAATACCAAAGTTAAGTTTCATACAAAAATAGTTCTGCTCGAAATTTTATTAGTATAATACTAGTTGGATAGTGATGAAATAGTATAGAAAAAGCTTGTTAACGCAGCCCCTTTGGGGCTGAAATGTGGAACTCACATATACTCTATAGCCTCATTAAACTAATACAAAATATGTAAAATGACAAACCTTTCGTAGACCATAGCTGTTTTGTAGGATAATCGAAAATCAGAGTAAGAACTTTTCTAATTTCTGCATTTCGAACAGAAATTTTTTTCTACAGGCGCCCTGTTTTTATTTTGCATTGTTGCTATTCGCTCATTATCTTTCGTTTTTTTTGTTTTTGTTTTAATTTGACGTTATTATTATTCTTCATCATCGACTATCTCATAAATCAGACTATTATAACAATGCACTATATATGCATCAGCAGATCTTACCGTACTACTATATATATCCGAATCAACTCATACATGGTAATATCATTTATTTTTTAAACTGTTAAAAAGATCGAATCATGTTTTTCATATTGATTATATGATTGCTATGACAGATCACTCTATTACTACTCTTCATTTTTCATTTTTAAAGTACAGATTTAAATTCTAAAAAAGTTGACGATTTCACTATTAAGAACTTTAATAGATATATTATAGTTTTCCAAATATTAATGAAGGCGTTGAAATATTGTATAAGAGTCGAGCTCATATTCTTTATACTGTTCAACTCCTTTCCTTTTTTTAATAAACAAATCTGAAGCCAGTTGCGTGCGGTTGCTGAGGTCTGTAATGGGGACCTGTCTGTAATGAGGAGGTGTCTGTAATGGGGGATGTGTCTGTAATGGGGGATGTGTCTGTAAT